CCCCAAAACCCCAAAACCCCAAAACCCCAAATAACATGTGTTTATAAAAAAATATAACAATTAACCCTCTCCACTTTCCTCTTATCCTCCAAACACTCAAACTTCAATTAATACAAATCACAATAAAAATTACTCTACTTCCACCTTCCATCCCATTGGCACCTTGATCCTTCTCACGATCTCTCTAACCACTTTTCATATTCTTCTCTTTCTCGTCCACTTTATTCTGAGTCCTCTCCATTGACGCTCCATTTCCTCTGATGTCAGTTTCTCTAAAAAATATTCATATTCACCTCCTCATATTTCCCTCACTACAATCCCTCTTCATTTCTTCATCTGCACCCACCTGTTCACTTTCTGCACAATTTCCTCTATCTCCTCTTTCTTCAGCCCCCTCTTCACTAAAACCACCACTCTAAACGCCTTGAACTTCTCCACAATTTCCACTGTAAACACGTCCTTAAATGACCGGTAGCCCGGTCACTCAATGACATCGATGCAGTAGCGGTGGGCTGAAGGGGCAAGCAGGTGTAGAACGCGGCAAACGTGGAAGAAGAGAGTGTAGAGGCTGAAGGTGGGTTCAGCAGGAGGTCAGGTTATGTGAATGGACACTGAAGAGGGCAAGGAGTTGTAGAAGGAAATATTTGAGGGGAGGAGGGTCGGTGGAGAGAAGAGGTCTGGGAGGGATGTGAGGTAACAGCCAAAGAAGGAGATGTAAGTAGGAGAGATGGAGGTGAGGGAGGTAGTGGAGAGGATTAGCCGGTCTTGTGAGTTGAGTAGGTGAGAAGTTTTATCAGTGCTTTGGAGGTATTTTATGGTTTTGAGATGGGAGGGTGATTTATTTATTTTTGAGCAGTTGGTGATTGAGATTATGTTGAATATCAAAGTGTAGATATTTTTGTCTCTGATGATAAAATCTGTTACAATCACTTCAATATTTCATCTGTACCAATGGTTATAAACTTCCTCATTCTCTTTCCACAATTTTCTTGCTATTATTGCATTTTCTGCTTTAAGTAATATAAGATTCTTCCATTCAAGATCTGTCTGTCTTCTCAAAATCTTGATATTTGTTGATTTCATAATATCTCAAAGTTCTGGTGATCCCCTCCACATTTTTTCAAAATCACTATCAAGCTTAACTTCCTTCAAATTTGGATAATATTTCCTGATAATCTTGTTTATTTTTGCCCGGGATATTGGTTTGTTATACCCATCCTTACAAAGTTTGATTTTCTTTACATTTTCAAAAATTGGGATTCTTGGATCTCCAAACTTGAAATATCAAATGAATGGAAAGTCTTCTTCATCGATCTCTCAAACGTAAATTCAATGATTATCAAGGATATATCATGAATCAACGCAGAGTATCTTCGATTCTTGAATTACCTTAGGAAAGATCATTAGCTTGGAATTTATAATCCCGTAATATTTCTTGGCACTGACTATATCACTGAAATAGACGCTATGTTTCTTTGGAGGTTCTGTAGGATCCGGCCTTCGTGAAGGCTCATGACCTAGCACGTTAGATATCTGATCTAAATTGTTAAAAATCTTTTCTATAGCTGGTCCCTCTCGATTCTCAAACTGTCAGCGACCGCTTCTTTCAATCTTAATCCGCTTGATCTGGCTCATGCAAGGAACTTTTTTGGCAAACTTGATAATCTTAGCTGTCCACTTCTTGGTGTAAATTTGGTAATCATTGAAATACAGCCTTCAGTTTTGAATAGGAGGGTTTTTAGTCCAAAAATCTATATTTTCATGACAGATCTCGATATCTTCCAGATTGTCTTCGAGATGTTTAATCCACAAGTTTAAGTTTTTGTTCCAGAGAGACCGAGTTTCTGTTGAAAAATTCTTCATGAAAATGTCTCATTCCTGCATTTTGCCGAAATAAGGAAGGATGTTGGATACTAAAGACTGCTTGGTTAGAATATTTTTCTTCTTATTGCTGTTCTCTTTCACTGTGTCTTGGGTAATATCTTCAGCACTGGTGCTGGTAGAATCTTCTTCTGACTTCATTTATGATTTGTTTGAGATCTAGTTTAGGTATTAGTTATGAGGCGAAATATTAGAAATAGTATATTTAAGCAAATTTTGTTGATAAAATAAAAGGGTTTTGTTAGATTTTAAGAGGTTTAATTATCATGAAGTTGAGAGTGAATGTAACAGTTGTCATGATAAACAGAAAATAAGTGAGAAAATTTCTCTGAGTTTATTTATCTGTTTCTATTGAAAGAGAAAGGAGAATTCAGTGAAAAATATCATAAAAATTAATTTAATGATTTTGTAATCTTTAAGGTTTGAGGCATCTTTTATTGCAGAATCAATTTTGAAAATTGGCTTGTTGAAAGAAAGCTATATTGAGTAGAAAAAAGAATTGTAAATAAGAAAAGAATAAAAGAATAAATATAAATAAGCTAGCAGCAAAGTAACTCGCAAAATTTTGTGAAGAATAAGACAGACCGTTGAAGCTTTGAATAATAAAATACTCTTCAAAATCAAAATTACACCTAAAATCTCTATTTAAAGACCCATGCCTAAAACCTCACATAACGTCTTTGTACTTCTCACTCTCATTTCCTCCCTCAAAACTCCCTCATCCCCATCCCCTTTAATCCCCAAATCTCCTTCACTACAAACCTCTCTTACCAACCCCTCTCATCCAAATCAGTAAATCCTACTCATAAGCTTTAGCCTCTCTTCTTCCTAATCTTAAATTCCTTCAGTGAAGAAAGCATCCAGTCCGCAGAAAATTTAGATTTTGGCTTGCTCATAAACTTCCAAGGGTGTAGTGAACAGTGAGAATAATTAAATTGTACGCCCAATATTTTTATATGGGTGAGGGGTTTTGGGGTTTTGGGGTTTTGGGG